GGGGAGGGTCAGAGGGAGAAGCAGGCTCCTCGCTGAGCAGGGAGCCCGATGCGGGACTCGATCCTGGGACTCCAGGATCATGACCTGAGCCAAAGGCAGTTGCTTAACCAACTGAGCCACCCAGGCGCCCCTTTGCCAGAATTTTAAAAACATAATAAAACCTTTGCCTGCAACCTAATCAGGTTGACTGCCTGCTGAAATAAAAACTCAGTATTTTCTGTAGGATTTGAACAAGAGTTGGAGTTTAATGACAGTGTTCAAAATGTCAAGGATACAATCCAGAATTACCTGGCACACCAGGAAATGGGGAAAATCTCAACTAGAAAAAGACAGGAGATCCCAGTACTGAGATACCAGATGTTGGAATTATCTGACAAAGACATTAAAGCAACTATTATAAAAGTGCTCCAGCAAATGATCAAGAATGCTCTTGTAGCCAATGGGGGAAAAAATTTATGCAAGGAAATATATATGAAAAGAACGAAATGGAAATTTTAGAACTGAAATACACAGTAACCAAAATTAAAAACTCCCTGAATAGTCTAGCATAATGGAGGAAACAGTGAACTTGAAGATAAACCAAGAGAATTTAATCTGAATACCAGAGAAAAAGATTGGGAAACAAAGCAAAACCATGAGCAGAGCTTCAGAGATCTGCAGGACAGTAATAAAAGGTCTAACATTTGTGCCATCAGAATCCCAGAAGGAGAGGAGAAAGCATGATGCTGGGAAAAAATATTTGAAGAAATACTGGCTAGAAACTTCCCAATTTGGTGAAAAACTTAAACCTATGGATTCAGGAAACTCCTAGATACCCACACCCAACACAATTGTAGTGAAAACTGAACAATACACTTGAAAGCAGCCAGTGAAAAACAACACATTATGGGAAATAATGATTTGGATGACTGGATCTCTCATCAGAAAGGGAAGCTGGAAGGAAGGAGCACAACATTTCTAAAATGCTAAAACAAAAGAACTGACAACCCAGAATTCTATATCCAGTGAAAATATCCTTCAGGCACTAAATGAAAAGTCACTCTTGGATGAAGAAAAACAAAGAACTCTGGTG